GATATCAAGAACGTTTCAAATCAATTTCGATGTCAAAGCCGATATGTATGAGTTAATTCCTTAGTCACAGGTCATTACTGCTTTAGACCCTCGAGTGACCAAAGTCCTAGTTGCATACTTTGAGATATTTTCGGTTCAAACCTTCCCGATTCATAAACTCTCGCCTGCTTTGATTAATAGACTTTAGCCAGGTTATGCGCTTGTCTTGAAGCCACCCGACAAGAATATGCCTGAAACCATGGGGTGTGTCGATATGCAACATCCAATCCTGTATTCCCTCGTATACCCCTACGCATCCCCAGTGCGTGGTCACAGAGCAGGGGCTCTAGACACAAAAACAATGACAAAGCCTCAACTACTTTCATACGCTTCGATAACCCTGCATGGCCCTGCATAACCCTATGTAAACCATTGTAAACCCATTCATATAACACTATAGAACTTGATATACCCCTGTATTGTATCCCTATACGCTGCAAAGCTTAGTCACATAGTCGCTGCCCTTGCAGACATGAGCCATCGTCTAAACTCCTAGTATCCCCTTCAATAACCCCAATAGTAGTCCTTCAAATACAATCCCCTATATAACCGCCCTTTAAGGAGTTTAGACCCTAAATCCTAAATTGTAGTTTCCATGTTTTTCCATTATCCTTACATAATCCCCTAAATAACCCCCATATCACCCCCTTTAAGGAGTTCAGACCCTAAACCCTAAACCCCCCAGACCCAGGAGTTTAGACTACGGCTCATGTGACAGGCGCGCCTGGTTGGCGATCAGAACACCAAAGATCTCATCCACGAAGGCCCCGGCAGGGCGGAAGCGGTAGTCTGTTGGGCACATGGCAGCCTGGGTTAGGGTTGAGGGTTTAGGGTTTAGGGATTTAGGGTCTAGGGTTGAGGTTTGAGGGGTTTACGGGCTTAGGTTTTGGGTTGTCTGTTTGCGTAAGAAGAAGTAAGTTGACATTACAGGACCCCGTGAATAAGCTCTGCATGAGGGTTCGTGTCTGTGTGAAAACAAAAGTCGGCCTCCCTGAAAGAACTTTTTTGCTGAAACACGTTCTTGCTTACCTATTTGTAGCGGTAGGGGCTGGAGATGTCCGAATGTCGTCGCTAGACCAGATCTTTGAGGCTTACCTCATGGCTGATGCCAACGCTGTTTGGGCGGCATCTTAAAGATAAGCGGCTATGGTGCTACATCACATGTGCTGAAAGGTATGCAGGCATACGTCATGCGTACCCAGAACATGTCAGAAGCCTTTAGGTCATGCTCAGGGTCAGAAGTGAAAAAAACATCCAAAACCATACCCGCACCAACCGGTGTACTGTTTATGGAGCCCAAATACCGGCAAATAGGAACTACCTAAGACATAGACCCCATTCAAGGGTATTTGGGGGGGTCCTGGAATGTCATTAGCCTTTACGGCATGTTTAGGGTCAAAGCCCAATGCTGAATTCCCTGAATGATTTAGGGGCTTCTCAAAACATGGTACCGGGGTTTTGTAAGGGATTATCTAGGGATTACAGGGGATTGTCGGGGGCTTTCAAGATTTTCTGCGATTATTGGGATCACTAGGCCTCATTAGGCATTCTGGGTTTGGGGGCCTGAGGGATATGGAAGTTGCGATTCAACTATACTAGCCCCCTCATGCTCATGGACATGTTTGGGGGAATCCCAATTCCGTTGTAGGCTAACATTGACTGCGGGATATGATCCACACCCTCCCGAATTCTAAAACCTACGTAATCTGGAGGCTATAAGTTCACGAGCAATGCCTGCGCTTCTGCCCAAAAACCTGTAAATTGCCCCTGGGTTTGGACTATCTCGAGGCCTGTCGCAAGGCCAGTGCACTGACCAAAATCATGAAGGTCCTTAACCCCTAAACCCTAAACCAAGCAAGGACAAGCTATCTCACCGGTGAAACCCCTGAGGCGACTGCGGCATACTCGTCTATGTCCACGAAGCCGTCACCTTAGGGTTGGTTTAGCGTTTAGCAAAGGGTGGCATCTTTACGAAAAGCCGAGAGTCACCTGAAATAATATAAGTAGTGATATGAGTACCCTTTGGATGATGCCCATATAGTCACCCTACTTACAACCCTAAGAGTGATACAAAACTATCCATGCCCCTCCACGTTGAACACCAGACAGTACTTGTAGGGTCCTGCGCATCACAGGACATACCACAAAGCCGCCCAAAACGAGGCCGGAAACAAATGGAATCTGATAAGAAGCTTAAGCACTACACAGCAATCATGTAGACCCCACCCCGCCACGCCCACGCCCACGCCCAAGCCCACGCCCACGCCCACGCCCAAGCCCACGCCCACGCACAAAGCAGAGACGCACACAACCCGAATCTATGACCCCAATCCCAATAAACAACTACAAGCACCCACCCGTAATCTGGGTTTGCCGGCCCGAAGCTCAAGAAGCATGGAGAGCTGTGGCGTTACCGGGGGCATTACAGAGGGCCCGCCTGTCTGGTGATCAAGGGGGAGTGAGGCAGCAGATCCTTATAAATCCATCCTGACATTGCCCTACATTGTCCATGTTCACCCATTTTACAATACCTATAGGTTCGCTTCGCTCTCCCACTCCTCTTTTAGCGCCAATCACTTGCGAGTCACTCCTCCCACCGACCCCCAACCCACTCCAGAGCTTGTAGTGTCCCCCTTAGCAACCCCTATAAAGCTACCCTATAGAATCCCCGACCCTAAACCCTAAACCCTAAACCCCTAAACCCTAAACCCTAAACACCCTTTGAGGTGTTTAGACTATGGCTCATGTAGGTACATGGTCTATACCTAAACCCCCACATTAGGTAAAATAATGGCCCAAATCCTCTAAATATAGCCCAAAAGGCCACTATTCTACATACTTGGGGGGTCCAGGTATGGCTCATGTAGGTACATCGTCTATAGTGTATACTTAGGTCCCAAAGGCGGTTCGCTCCCAGAAGACTACTTCGGGGTCTACGTGTATACTATATGAGCTATAGTCTAAACTCCTTAAAAGGGGGTTATATAGGGGATCATATAGGGGACTACTAGAGGGGTTATTGAGGGGGATACTGGGAGTTTCGACTATTTGCTCATGTGAGTTCACCCGTCAAGAAGGGTATACCGTTGCGAGGAAGGTGAGGTCAATATTCCCCAACAAGTTGGCGCTGGGTTTAGGGTTTCTTTAGAGGGGCCAGGGCTTAGGTTTTAGGGCAGCCGGTGTCTTAAACTTAAACAGCCCTGGATCCCCCAAGCCTCATGTCCACAAACAGAAGGACCCCCTGATATACCTCCCAAAAGCCTATGTTGCAGTTCTAGATAACGGAATGCGAACGAACAGCCCCTGACTTCTGGAAACCCCAGACCCTAGATCCTAAACCCTATAAATCCTAAATCCGAAACCCTACAAATCCTAAACCCTCAACCCTAAACCTAAACCCCAAATCCTAAACCCCAAACCCTTAAACCTTAAAACCCTAAAATCCTAAACCCTTAAACCTCAAATCCTTCCAAAGCAGGCTCTGGAACCGCTGCCATCTGCGGCCCAAGCTCCGGCCCCGCAGAATCCGAAGGGACCACCGGAACCTGGACTATTACAGAGGTAAGGGTTTGGGGTTTCGGGTTTGGGGTTTAGGATTTAGGGTTTAGGGTTTAGGGTTTAGGATTTAGGGTTTAGGGCTTAGGATTTAGGGTTTAGGGTTTGGGGATGAGGGTTTTGGATTTAGGGTCTAGTTGCACATGAGTTGTTTTTTTCCTTGGGATTGGTGGTTACAAGTTTCCCAACAATGGAGCCCCTCCCTTATGTACCTGCGAACTTATTCGAGTTCTTGTCAGTGGGACCCTAAACCTCCCCAAGAAAGGTTGCCTATTAGGGTTCGATTCATTGTCGCGAAGTGCAGGACTTGAAGCGGAGGGTTGGGGGTCAAGAAGTTTAGGGTATAGGCTTCAGAGGTTTAGTTGGCAATGCTTTTTTTGCATGAGTTCTCCAGCGGAGGAAGCACCAAGGCTTGTAACCCGTAGTCCCGCTAAATGATTAGTTAAGATACCCCAGCAGCACATGATTCTGCTACGCCTGTATAGCAGAAGTATGTAGAAGTTGCATAAGTAAGCCGAGAGGAAACTGACGGGAGCAAGCCTCAACCGCAAACTTTGAGGCCTAGAGCCAAACCCTAACCAACCCTAACCCCTACACCCCTAGCCTTACTGGCGGTTAGTAGGGAACAAGGGAATATAATCCCAATATAATCCCTATAAAATGTATCCCCCTATTCCCTACTGACCCCCAGTAAGTAGCTTCAGGCAAGGAAACCAAAAGCCCAGATCATGGTTTCAAAGCCCATAAAACTGCATGCATGTTTGTGAAGAAGCTTGCTTGATTATGATTTTCAGTGAGGGACCGCATGTTTGTGAAGAAGCTTGCTTGATTATGATTTTCAGTGAGGGATCACATGTTCGGGAAGGAGCTTGCTTGATTATGATTTTCAGTGCGGGACCGCATGTTTGTGTTGCTTGAGTATGATTTTCAATGAGGGACCGCATGTTGGTGAAGAAGCTTGCTTGATTATGATTTTCAGTGAGGGACCACATGTTTGGGAAGGAGCTTGGCTTCCAGGGGCACCAGTGGCTTTAGGGCTCCTTGCTTTGCACAAGCACCGGAGAGGCCGGGCAACATTGCCTACTGCATGAGACTTTTTTTGACATGCTTGATTTGTCGGAGACATGTGTTGGATGTTCTTGGCAGCGATCTGCGCTCTGGCAGCAGCTGCCCCAAAAGTGAGCACTGGTCCAGGCAGCCTGTTCCTCCAAAACGCATTCTCAATGTGTCATGCTTTTGTGGCGGGAGGTCGAAATCTGGAATTGGATCCCGTCACAGGCGCGTGGCGGGATCGTGGCCCTGCTGGGCAGCTGGTCCCAGATGAAGGCCATGTTTTTGGGCTCCCGGCAAAAGGGTTTAGGGTTTAAGGTTAGGGTTTGGGGTTTAAGCTTCAGTTGAAGACTGAGGTGAGTCCCATGTGTATACTCCCACAGAAGTGGATGGCACTATTCCGGACAGGGCTGGTGCTATCCCAGATTTGGAGACTTTGCTGGTATCGGACGAAGAAGAGGAGGAGCTTCCACATGCGCCTGCTACCCCACCTATGGAGTTGTCGGTGAACTAAGCCATTACGGAGGCCTTCTCCGAGTTGGGGACTTCTTTGCCGAGTTTTGGGCTGAGCCAGCGCAAAGATGGAAAGCAATCATTGAAAGGCTCTACAGTGCTCAGGCAAGAGTGCAACATCCGGATCGTAACCAGAAGAACAAGAAAGAGGCCCACCAGAAGATGATTCGACTGGGCTGCCACAACGAAGTTTTGCTGCAATTCGTTGCAAATTGGAGCCAGATACAGCGGCTACTGCGTCGTCAGCTTCCGACATGTGTTTGTGCACTATGCCACGACTTGCTCCAGAAAATGACGAGATGCAGATTCTGCCTAGGCACCGAGAAAAAGAATGGGCACCAAGGCTGCGGCCTCGGGAAGGAGGCGTCGTACTACCGTCGGAACCACCCAAACTGGTACCCAACATTGCTTCGGGATCAAGCTCATGGTGACGACACCGCTGAAGCCAGGAGAAAAGCAGACATGGACCGGAAGCTCCACGAGGGTCGTCAAAAGACGGCAGAGAAGCTGGAGAAGATCCGTCGTAAGCGAGAAGCCGAAGAAGAACAAATTTTATTCGATTAACGGCTAGCAGAAGCACTACAGAAAACCGAGATGGAAGTCATCTCAGACTGGGAGCGGGAAACCGGCCTCAAAGCCAGTGCTTCCGCCACTCAGGCTTGTTTCTTTGTAAGCTGCCTTCCTGTCAAAGCATTTTTTTTGGTTTTTCACTTGTTTGCAAAACGTTTATGCTCGCAGGACCTTGGGCCCCAAGCAGTTGCAGGACCATCTCGAGGAGTGGGCTCGGGTGCTTCAGCAGGTGAGATACGGGCGGCGGGACAACGAGTTACGCCAACAAGACCAACCATTCTTGCCCCAGTCCGCACTTTTCCTCCTGCATCGCCTGGGATGACCATGCCCGGTGGTTCAACACCCAAAGCTTCGACAGGCCAGAAGCGACCTGTACCTTCGAGTTCTCGCCCCCTGAACCTTCCTAAGAATCAAAGAAAGGCTTCAGGATTAAGGGTTTACGGTTTAGGATTTTGGGTTTAGGGCTTCGGGTTAGGGCTTTGTACCCAAAAGTCGGACCCAGCCGTAACAGGAATATCACATATAGCCCACGCATGGCCCACATCTAGGTACTACAGTCCTTTGAGAACCGCCTCTCGAATTCTAAATTCGAAGTTGAAGGTGCCACCCTGAACCCCTCCCGATCAACTTTGAATTGTTCCATGTCAAATTTTCCTCAACTTACAACTTAGAATTTTCAAAGCCTGAAACGCAAAATGAGCTATGCAGAACACCCCCTAATAAACCCTAAGCCTTATAAGGCCCCAAGTAAATACAATAAGCCCAAAGCCCTAAACCCTCTGTGATTGTGATAAACCCTTCGGGCGGTTTAAGGTAGACCCCTGATTAATAAACCCCATCCCCTTAGTAGGCATTATACTTATAATAGGTATCCTTACATGAAGGCCCTTAAACAGGAGCGGGGTTATTAATCATGGGTCTACATTAGGCTAAACCCTAAGCCCCATATCCTATAGCCTAAGCCCTTAACCCTAAACCCTATAGGGTTAAACCCTAAACTGAGGAAAGACTTCAGAGCGCTACCAGCCCTACTGAGCCTGCAGTGCCAGCTGGGTGCTTGCCAGAATGCGGATCCCCCTCATGTTTAGGATTTAGGGTTTAGGGTTTGGGGCTTAGGATTTAGGGCTTGGGGTTTAGGATTTAGGGTTCAGGGTTTAGTTTAGGGTTTCGGTTGAGGGTTTGGGGTTCCCCGCCCTTCCAGACTGACAGGGATGCCCCAAAAAGGATCTACAAAGACTCATGTCCGTTGAAATAGGGGAGGGCCGTACCAAGGTCCATGCTTTTTTCAAAGGGGCGGGTATTGATCCCCCCACCCAGTAATAGTGACTATAAGGGATTATAAGGATTCCATTAGGGCTCTCTTATCTTCCTATTGTACCACTATTACAGAGTTGGGGGGTCCTCCTAGATTATGTTACTGTTCAACATCGTACTCGCGCGTCATGCGCGCTCGGGATCCCAGTTTGGCAAGCCTCCTATTTCACTGGTCACGCTGACCCGTTAACGAGTTACAGCTGGCGCATCTTCATGATCTAGGGTTTAGGGTTTAGGGGCGTAATCCTCACCCTACCCAAAGGCAACTGCACCCCCTCCCCTCCCAGTATCCCTGGCCAGTACCTGTGACACCAAGGCGTAACCCCTAACCCCGTCACCACAACTCCCAAGAAAGTAAGATACCGCGTTCCTCATGGGACTTGTATATTATGAGAAAAGTATAATTTTACTTCTTTCAACCACCAGAAAAAACACCTAAACCCCCTATACCTTGCGCATCCCTAGATGTCCCCATATGTCACCCTACAACCCTATACATCTCCAACAAAAAAAGCACCCCTCAACTTCGGCAAAGCGTTCTTTGCAGAGACGACTCCTTGTCTGCTTCACTGCCCCTACTTGGATTCAGCGTTTAGGGTTTAGAGTAGGGAATTGGGTAGTATTTAGGGCCTCTGGTTCAGGATTCAAAGTATAGCAGTATTACCCACTGATATCTGTACATATAACGCAAGCAGATCCCAACCACGGACCGCAAACCCTACATGTTCGACGGTTCCTAGGTTGATACAAGCCTAATGTACCTGCTCGGCTCACCCTCCCCCCAACAAGCATAGAAGCTGACGTAGGCTTGGGGCTTACTTGAAAGGGCAGATCTCTTTGCAGGGCCCTTTTTGGCTTTCCATATTCGTTTTGAGGAGCTTTAACTTTTTAGCACTTCCCACCGTCCGCTAAGAAAAAGCCAAGTTAGGGCTCAGGGTTTGAGGGAAGATTGCTGAGACAGCAGCTGAAACACGAGACCCTAAACCCGGAATCCGGAACCCCGAGTCCTAAACTCTGAGTCCTGAATCCTAAACAGATCGCAGACTTTGGCTCAGACATGAGTCGTCTCTAGGTGGGTATGTCAAGCCGGCTGGAACGCGACAGCAGAAACAAAGCTATGAAGCTCGGTGTAGGGTTTCGCATTCAGGGGATTGCGGGATAATGGAAAAGAAAATGGAAACTACCATATTATAATAGGGTATATATTGGGGCTATTTGGGGTCTAGGGCTTGGGGTTTAGGGTTAAGAGTCTAGGGCTTGGGGTTTAGGGCATACTTTAGGAGGACCCCCCACCTTGTAATAGTGGTATAGTAGGATGCGACTGTAATTTTGGGGTTTGCGGATCAGGTTTTCCCTGGTGTGCTCAATGATGTTCCGTGTCCCACCCGAATATTGCTAGTGCGGTAAGAAAAGTTCTTGACCTGACAAGGGAGTTCCTCCCCAATTGCCGCGGGGTTGTGCAGGTCTACGTTGACGTCTACGTTGAGGTCGCGTCCCATGGCTCCATGACGGCGCAACAACGTTTGCAGACTCTACTATCCATGTTTATTTTCAGGACGGACTGTCTTCTTTCATAGGCCGGAAGATGGTCTGAAACAAAAGCCATGCAATTGCCAACGGTAGCTTGTCATTGCTTCACGCAAGGTTTGTGTCCCAGACGCAAAAATGGCTTTAGCCCCTTAGCCCCAGAAGACAAAGTTTGCTTTTGAAATGTGTGTCTTGCAGCCACCGATTTGCGAGTGGTATATACCCGTATGATTTTGGCATCGCGAAGCTTTATGCGCAAAATGACTGTCGCGGGTCAACCACTTCATCAGCCCGAGGGCCAAACACACGGTTGCCCCCAGGGCGTGGCCATCGCGGTTAGGCCACAGGCCAGTGTCAGAGCGGCCTACAACGATTACTATAACTATTACCATTATTATTACTATTATTACTACT